AGGCTTATTTTGATTGCTCCAATTAGTCTATAAAAAGAGCAGAGTCATTAAGGACAGAGCCTTCAGATGCAGATGGTCTGTATTCAAATTCTGATTCTAGACTCCCTCCCTTCCGTCCTTTACAGCCATGGTCACTAAGCTGTCCCAGAAGCAGCTCTGGGCTGGCCAGCACCAATATAAGGGGTGCAGTGGGGTCCTTGGGTTGTGACACAACATCAAAATTTGGGTGGCCTGGGCTGGGGATTTAGCTCAGTGATTCTACTGCCTGCCTCAAAAGCACAAGGTCCAGAGTTTGATCCCTGGTACAAAAAAAAAAAAATTGGGTGGTTTAAAGCAACATATATTTATTATCTCACTATTCCAGGAGCTAGAAGTCCAAAATCAAGGTGGCAGCAGACCCACCGTCTTCCATAACTCCAGGTGAGAATCTTTCCTGACATCTTCCAGCTTCTGGCATTTGCCAGCCATCCTTGGCTTGTAGGCACGTCACTGAAGAAGTAGGCCACCTTCTCATCCTCTCTCTTCTGTTCTGACTCTATCTCCAATTTTTCCCTTTCTGTATTGGATTAGAGCCCACTCTAACTTGATCATCTCTGTAAAGACCTTATTTCCGAAAAAGGTCACTGTGGGTGGCACTAAGGGTTCAGACTTCAAAGGGGCGGTTTTGGGGAACACAATCCAACCCCATTACAAAGGGTATGAGAGCAGGGAAAGGAGGCACCAAGAAGGAAAGGAGAGCTACTTGGGTGTAGCAGGGGGGTGAGCAGCTGAGTTAATATTCTGATGATAGAAGTCAATGTCCTCATAGAAGTCATAGGCCAGAAGGGAGGTGCAGACAGACAGATAGAAAACTGCAGTGAGATGTGTGGTGTGGCGTTTTGAAACTGACAATGTCAGTGTGAAATTATGATTTTCAAAATGATAGATGCAGAGATACAGAGAGCAGTGACTATGTACACTCATTCGCCTATCCATCCATCCATTCATTCCTTAGCTCTGCCCAGTAAGGGGCCTGAGGACAGTTGTCCCCAGCAGTAGGAAACAAGCACACTGTGGCCCCAAATGCCATTCTCCACTAACAGGAGTCAAAGCCACTGGAGAAATGGGTGGGCTCAAGGCCAGCCAAGACAAGTGCAGGATGAGATTGCAGTGCCTGACAGTGCCCAGGAAGGTCTTAAAGAATGTCAAGGATGTGCAGAAAGGACCTGGACCAGGGTGAAGGAGCTCTTGCTGGCCAAATCTGGGGTGATGTGAGCAGCCAAAAATAATTTGAAAATCATCCTTTTGCAGTCATCGTCATCATAATAATTAATGAAAGGAGCAGGACTTCGTGCTGAGATTGGCCACAGAGGTGGAGTGAGGAAATTTCACAGAATCTCTGCACCAAATATGTATTCACTACAAAAGGAGGAGGAAAGTAACTTCACAGTGGGGAAACTTGGCCAACACAAGTCTTAATCAAGTCAGCAACGTGAACCTTATTAGTGACAAACTGACCTGAGAATAATTCATCATCACTTCTCCATTATTCTGGTCACAAATGCATAATGAGGGTCTAATCTACAGGCCAGCCCAAACGGAGGGACATTCCGAAGAACAACTGGCAGGTAGCAAGAGAAACCGAGGCACCTGCTCTGACCAGAAGGGACCAGAGAAACATGACAACTAAACGTCATGCATGGTCCCAGATGGGATCCTGTGCTGTTGAAGGCATCGCTGAAATGATTCATGGACCTCAAAGGGGGTTTCCCCTTGAAAGGTATGTGGGAGCTCTTTGTACCACCTTGAATGGCTTCTTGAAAAAGTGTCCAAATTAAAAAAAGAAAAGAAAGTGGAAAAAAATGCCCCGTTGTCATATGCTAGCTATGTTACTTTTGATGATTTATTTTATTTTTCTCCCTCAGTTTCTTCATTTGTACGTGAAGATACTAACAGTGACCCAAAGGCTATTGGGAGGCATGGAAGAGGTGGGGAAATTTCTCTTCCTATGTCTGGCCCTTATGTAAATGTTCAGTCCCTGTTCACTATGACTCCGTCATTCTGCCCATATTCTACTGGGTTTCTCAGACCCTGCGAAATGGGGTCAATTAATTGCAAGACATGTTGTTTCATATACCCCTGGGGGTGTGCTCAATTAAACCCTGACAGAATGCTTCTTCTCACTTAGAATTTCTAATATTTATTGGAGGAGCTCTTTTAGACTTATTCAAATGTGAATTTTTATACTATAACACTCTGCATTAAAATGGAAAGGAAAGGCCGATGAAATGGTGGCAGAATTCCTAAGACTTCTTCGCATGTGAGGATCTCATCTTTCTGTTTCCTCCAAGAGTGTCCTTGTGCCTTCAAGAGCATCAGAGGCACAGCACCTCTTACAAGGGCTCCACTGTTGCCTGCAACTTCTTCCAGCCACTAATGCCCACCATCCTGTGTACATTCAGACTTGTATTGGGGGAAATAAAGGAAGAAGGAAAAAAGAGGGAAGAAGAATAGGAGAGAGAGTGACTGTGAATTTTGCCTCTGTCTTTCCTACAGCTATATTGTGTGTGCCTTGGGGGCCCTTATCTATTACCCCCCACCCAGCAGCTTGTTTCTTCCTTGTGAATTTGGTGACTAATCATTGAAGATGCTTCTCTGCTGAGAAATTCGCATTTGCTGCTTCGAGGCAGGGCTTTTACAACCCTGGAATCCATTTAGATCCCCTAAAATTAAGGAAGAATTTCAAGTTCAGCTGCCCCATGTTGCCAGAAGCCCAAGGTTTCGATTTCAGATTGTCAAAACTGCTGATCCACATTTGCACTGATAACACAGTTGATGCTATTTCCTGTTTGCCTGAATCTCAGGTTTCAGCTCACTATTTTTGTTTATTTTATGTTTTTTTGTTTAGGAGAGGAGAGAACTGCCTTACAGAATTCCTTCACTTCTGGGGAATCCAGCAGTGCATTTATAGTCTATGTTTCCTCAGAATCTACCTGTTTGTAGTGAAATGGACCCTCAGCATATCCACATAGCCGCACCAAAGGTATAACAGTTTTCCCTTGTTTGGGGCACCAGCTCACTGTGGAGAAGGGGAGGCACACTGAGTCATTTTTGGCGCCATGCAGGAGACCAGGTGACACGAAGACCCTCAAAGTTCCCAGGTTTGAGTAGACCTCATTCCTTGGCACCTTCCCCAGCTTCCTCTTCACCAGAAGGACAACTCTGTTGGGCTTCGGTGGCTCACCTTCTTTTCAATATTGCTTCTGGCTGGGAGGACAGAGAAACATCTACCAGCCAACCCCAGGACTTTCCTCACATCCACTGTGACACAGAGACGAGAGGGCACTTCCATTGCCTCAGTGGTTACTTCGGTTGTGATCATTATTCATTTGGATTGGTTCCAGGGCGACAAGGTCTTTGATTGTTGCTTTACTCTGTCATTTCATCTGGAAGTCTAAATTCTGCATCTCTACCAGTTCCTCAGAAGTGCAGGTGGTCTTCAGACCAGAATTTGAGCTTCAGATATAGGGAAATGAAGACAGAAAGGAAAAGCAGAATTGAGCAGGCTGTTGGTACCAGGCAGCCTTCACCTATTTGTTCAGTGGAAGTATTTAAGGCGCAAGCAGGTATAAAGTGATTCCGTACAAGGGAAGCTCAAACACAACTCAATAGTAGTTCCTCAAAAATTTAGCCAGAGAGAGCCAGGCGTGGTGGTGTACGCCTGTGATCCCAGCACTCCAGAGGCTGAGGCAAGAGAATCACCATTAGTTCAAGTCCAGCCTGGAATACATAGCGAGTTCAAGTCAGCCTGAACTACATAGTGAGACCCTGTCTCCAAACAAACAAACAATTTCGACAGAGAATTCGCATATTAGTGATTCTCTTCTGACCAAGCCCAAAGCACGGGAAGCAGGGCTTGACCAGGGAGTTGTGCAGGCCTACTGAGAGCAGCGTGATTCACAGGGCCACCAGGCAGGGTGAACCCGAGCACCCAGGATGAACAAGTAAAGAAGCAAGGTGGAGTGTCCATGCCTCTGAATATCACTCCGGCTTAAAAGGAAGGTGTAATGGTTTATATCCAAGGTGTAACTGTTTATATGCAAGAGCCTCACACCTCGCACGTGGGGCTCTGGGGAGGTGATGGATTGGATTATGGAGACTTATCTCTGACTTGCTGTTAGGAGGTAGGGTCTGCTCAGAAGAGGCGGGTCACTGTGGGTGTGACCTGGAAGGGTATGACTTCCTTCGAGGCTGCTCCTTCACTCTCTCTGCTTCCGGTCCCCATGAGGCAAGCAATTCTCCTCCACTAGGTCCCTCTGTAATGTTGTCTTACCTTGGAGCCAGCTGATGATGGACTGAAATATGAATCAAAATAAAGCTCTCCTCTTTTAGGTTTCTGAATATGGTGCCTCAGTGACTAGGAAAGTGACTAAGAAAGCAGGAAGTTTTGTCACATGCTATAACCTGCATGAACCTTGAGGACATTATGGTGAGTGAGATAAAACAGTCACAAAAGGACAAGTCCTGTATGATGCCACTCATGTGAGCTCCTTATGGCAGTCAAATTCACGGCCATGGGCAATGGGTGGTGGCTTCCAGAGGCTGAGAGAGGTGGGGATGACTCGGTTGACTAGCAGGTACCAAGACTCAGTTTGGAAACTGATGGAAGAATTTCTGAAGACAGACAGCTGTGATGGCTGCATGCGTAACATAAACATCCTTAAGGCCACTGGATTGTACACTTAAAAAGGGTAAAAATGGCGAATGTTCTGCTTGGAATATTTCACCACATTCTTAAAAAAAAAAAAAAGCGGATACAACTGAGTCACAGTAAGAGAAATCAGAGTGGCGGTCACCTTTGAGAGACAGTGATTGTGAGAGGATGAAAGAAGCCTAAGGGGTCGTCCTACTCCTCAATCCACGGTAGCTGCGTGGCCACATAGTTATGACTATTCACTATACTGTACACTTGAGATTTGTGCACTTTAGTGTGTGGAAATTAAAATTCTCCGATAGAAATATGGTGGAAAATATTTTTAATTATATAAGAAAAATGTAAGTCCTAGGCAGAAAGGAACCAGGCTCCATGACAGTCAAAGCTCCTGTCGGGACCACTTTTGGGTGAGCACACCTCATGGCCCCACCAAAGGCCCCCAGAGAATATAACGAAGCTTTTCTTGTTCCATTGTGTTTTAGCTGATGTGACTGCTTGCTCGCTGGTTTTTATTTTTTAAAAGTTGAGCATTGTTGAGTTCCCAAATTCCATCTTCCAGCCACCCTGCCGGTGACTTCTGGCCCCACAGGAGCCCTGGGGTCCAGGTGCCCCCAGGTGGCCTGAAGACAGGGCACCACAGCGGTCAGGAGCTTGGCTGGGCTGTCAGCCTGTGATCCCTCACTGGAGGTACGAAGGTGGCCACACCAATCTGCTCCGTGCCCCCTGGAAGGCAAGGTCAGGGTCAGGTGGATTGGCAAAGACTTGCTCTTATGTCACTATTGAAGCCTGAGGCAAAAGCTTGGGTAGTTTTATGGACCCTGGAAGGAAGGAGGAATAAGCGGGGACACTGAGTCAGGGTGGGGACAAGTCTCCTCAGATTTGCCCTCTCATCACATTGAAGACACCTCAGCCATGGTGCATCATGAAGGCCGCAGCCCAAGGTCTCAGCAAGGGATCCGGGGATGCCACTCCTGGCTAGGAACACAAAGATGGGAAAGGGCAGGAGTGGCCAGACCCTCAGCCCTGCCCACAGCACCACTCAGAGGAAGGTCTGGACCCCACACGGGTTTGTACTGGAGCCGACTGTGTGCTGGCTGTGTCTCTGGGCCTCTCTTGGCTAGCATATAGTTAACCCTTCCCTGAGAAACAGACAGGCCTTCCAATTTCTGGGTGACAGAAATTCACACCTGGCCTGGTGGTCCGGGGATGAGCCAAGCTCATGGTGAAAAGATGCTGCCCACCCTGACCTGCAGGCCCAGCATTGTCCTCCAGACTGAGTCCCTGGTGGCCAAATCTGGCTGTGGCCCCTTTCCGGGTCCTCAGTCTCCCTCAGCATGACAGGGAGCTCAGGGAAAGAGGCCTGGTGGGGGCATCAGGACAGAAGAGCAGGGCCATTACTTCTAGTCCATCCTTCCAGCTCTGCGTAAGCCTTGCCTGCCCTCGCCACTCCAGGAAGGGACAGGGACAGCAGGGGAGAGCAGCCCAAACAGGAGAACCAGAGTGCTCTGGGGCCTGCAGCCACCTTGATGCCTCCTCCTGGTCTTTCCCAGCCAGCCCTGGCCTTCCTGTGAGGGAGCAACAAAGAACAACAGGCCAGAGGTCAGTGGCTTCTCTGCAGGTTCTGTCCCCATCCTTCCACTGGCCCTTTCCCGGAGTGACCCCGGGCCACCTCTGTCCTCCCACAGGAGAAATACAACCACTTTTCCCTTTGCCCGATTCCGGTGTGCCATAGCCAAGCACAGGGGCCGATCCTGTCTTTATTTAAAATTTGATTGTTTTGTTCATCATGATTGTTCTTGCATTTTGATATTTTACCATATTGTGTTAAAATATCATTTGCTTTGGTGACTGAGATTTTTGGTGCCACCTTTAACCTGGACACCTGAGGGATATCTAAAACATCCTGCCCTAGTCCTGCTGCCTACAGGGAGTTACTCCTTCCTTCCTTCCTTCCTTCCTTCCTTCCTTCCTTCCTTCCTTCCTTCCTTCCAGATACTGCAGTCACTAATGGCCCCTGTGCCAGGCTGGACACTTTGAGAAAAATGCAAGCTAGACGCAAGACAGTCCTGCACACCACTGGGGGAAGGGGTGCAGTGCCAGAGGATAGAGGACTCCAGGAAATCCCAATGCCACCAGCCCCATGCACATCAAGCTCTCGTGTCCCCAACGCTGGCCTGAGATCGACCCAAGCAGCACCTCCCTGGGTGCCTTCAACAGTCTTCCCAGGTGCATAGATTCTTGTATGAAAGTAACAGATGGGGTCCGGAGGCTTGGAGGAGCCATGTGCCGGTGACTGGCACAAGGTCACACTCTAAGAAGCAGTGGACTTGAAGTCCCACCCAGGGCTGTCTGGCCCTAGGCTTGTACCTGCTCTGGCTGGGGCTGCCTCCCTCTGCCTCCCCAGGGTGCAGTCAGGGTGGGCTGCATGCTGGAGGCACGCTGAGCACTGAGACCTGGAGGATGTGCATGCGTTTACGGGGAGACTCACCAAGGAAAACTTGCATCTGGTGCTGTCAGCAAGCGATGTTATGTCCACAATTCTGAGAAGCTGAGCAATGCTTGTGAAAGGGCATGTGTGTAGAAACAGGCTTCACTTCCTCTTTCCGAGTCTGCTGCCTCACGACAGTGCCATAAATAAATAGGAAGCTTGGAGACGCACAGCTGACTGGAGGAGGCTCCCGAAGGAGCTGGCTGTGGAGGTAGGGCTCAGCTTGCGGGGCAAGGCAGGAGTGAGGGGCCTGGGGGGCGGGGGGGAAGCACAGGGCGCAGCCGGGGCAGCTTGCTGTGGAGACCTGGAGGGCGGGACTGGGCCTTTTGGGGAGATGGAACCCAGAGTCCTCGGGTGGCTAGTGGGTGAGGAGGTGGCTGGGGCACTGTGCAAGGGCTCTGAGCATCTGGGCCTCACCAGAGGGATGGTCGTGCTGGTGGGGGATGCCTGGCAGCTCCCCTGAGGGTCACACTGTCCCCCTGTGCTTTGCCGCTGAGGTGCTGTTGGTGGCAGTGAGCACGTCCCCTCCCTGCCCTGGGTCTGTCTTCTGGTCAGTCAGGAATGGGAATGGGGAGAGTCCCTGCCTCTGTGGCTTAGAAGGAGGGAGGAGGGGGGGCTGGCAGGGTGCAGAGGCTGTGGAGTGGAGGATGAGATCTGGAACCTGGCGGTGCCAGAGTCTGAAGCTATGGGCTGGGACTTAGGAAGTTCACTTTGAACTGCCGAAGAGACTCAGTCCCTTGCTCAGAGACGCGTGCCGCCATCCAGCAATCAATCTGTGTGCATGTGTGTAATCACCATTCTCACACTCAGCAGAACCAGCCTTGCTTATTTGTGTTTGGGCCCAGATGCACGTGTTCCGTCCCCAAGTGTGGGTACCCGGGGGGTGGGCACCGGCTGTCTGCCGTGGGCTCTGTCCCCTGCCTGTGTTTGCCATGACTGAGGGACAGGTGTCTCGGTCCACCTGGGACTGAGCTTATAGGATTTCCCCCAACAGGCGCCTGTGCCAGTTGTGTGGTCTTTAGCCTTCAAAGGCCCTGCTGTTACATATTTTTGCATAATTGGGTTTTCTTTTTTTTTTCTCTATTCATCTCTCCTGCTTTGTAATTTTTATAGTTTGAGTGACTTTTCAATTAACTCCTGGTCACTGTTTTCACTCATCAGTTCTATATCTATTGGTGGTAGCCTTGCACATGATTGTCTCTAATGTTAAACAAGTAAATACATGGATACTTTCTCCATTAAAAGTTAGGATAATACAGAATTATGAAGCATAAAAGGCAATGTCCCAGTCACCTGTGCCCATTCCCTTTGATACAGGTGTCTTTCCAGAAGATTATTCTAAGCATGTTACAACTTTAAAGCTTTTCTTTATAGTTGGAATTGTGATGAAACGGATTATAACACACACAATGTTCTACGGCTTATTTTTTCACTTAACATTACATTTTGGGAAGCATTCCACAATAATGCAAATAGATTGGACTTAATTAACCTAAGAACTACACGCCACTTACTAGTACGGGTAATCACTAATCACCCAATCTGATGGTGAGCAGCTATGAGTTTGCTTCCACCTGCACACACCATGAAAGTATTTCTGTAGCCCAGACTCTGGGCAAAGGGTACACATTTAAATTTTAATAAGTATTTTCAAATCATTCTCAAAGTAGCTGAATTTAGATGCACACAAAAGGGCATAAGAAGCTAATTTATTTTTAGAGAAAGTATCAATGGCTTCATTTTGTTCCGTGTAATGGATAAAAATTATGCCACTATGTCTGAATTTTTCCCCTTTCCCCTGATTACGGTTGAGCGGTTCATCTTCCTGATGCTTTTTGTTGTATGGATTCTATTTATGATGAACATGGGGAAGTCTTCTTCTTTTTCTTCTTCATCTTTTGCATCTTAACTTTCAGAGTGACTCATTTATTATGTGTATTAATTTATTTACATAGGTTAAAAACATAGCATCCCAGATTATTGCTTAACTTTTTTCTTTGTTGTGTTTAAGCTATCTTGTATCATATAAAATATTTTGTTTATAAGTCAAAGCTTTCATTATTTTTTATTAAAATAGTTCCTAGTTTTGTTGTCTTGTCCAGCTCCTAAGAGTAAAGAAATATTTTAAATATTTTATCACTTTAATTTTGACTTTAGGTCTTTCATTCATTTGGATTTCAAGGGGTGGGTAATATGTAAAGTCATAATATAACTTTTTAAAGAAATCATCTAGTTGTCTAAAAATCATTAATTACAAGCATACAGTCCCTTTGCTTCTTGGTGATTTGAAATGCCACCACACCTTCCTAAAATCTGCTATTTTCTTGGTTATTTTTCATACTGTTTTCTGTTCTATCTGTAGACGGTTATATTGCTTGGGATTTTGCCAGATAATACAGCAAGTCTCTCATCTTTAATTTGTTGTAATTTAAAATCAGCTTGTCTAGCCGATGAAAAATTTCTTTGGAGCCAGGTGTTATGGTGCTCATCTGTGATCCCATCACCCTGGGTGGCTGAGGCAGGGAGATCTCAAGTTCCATCCCAGCTGGGGCAAGTTAGGAAGACCTTGTCTCACAAAGGGATGGGGTTGGAGGTGTTGCTCAGGATAAAGACCTAGATACAATCCCCAGAACCACACACACACACATGCACGCACACACACGCACACACACATACAACCTGTTTGGAGTCTTCATTGCTATTTCATAGGATGATCTGGGTGTGGGGAACAGATAGTGGTGGGAGCTTTGCCAGGAGGCTGCTCACAGTCCTCTAGGACTCTGACCTTGCCGTAGCATTTCAGGCAGATATTTAGCAATGCCATATTTTCTCCAGCTTTGTGTTTGCCAAGGTTGTCTGCTTTTTTAACCCAGAATGATGGGTGCATTTTCCCCTATGTCAGAGCATCTGCTAAGATAAACTTACCCTTCTATCCCTCGTGTTCCTTTGGTCTGTTTGTCTCTTTCTGTTTTTCCCAGGAAGACTGCTTCCTCCTCTCCTGTCGTGTGGAAGATGTTCCCTGCCTGGCCACGGGGCTTTTTCCTTTAAAAATCTTTTTCCTACTGTCCTCTGACATTGTATTTTCCTGGAGTGAATTTATGTTTTGCTTTTTTTCTTTCTTTCAGTTTTTATTCCTTCCATGAAGCCTCTTCACAAGGTGGGCGGTTGTGACGGGAACATTTGTTTGGTGTGAGAGGCCCTTGGTTTTCCTCTTCAGGTTGCGCCCTCTTTTTCTCTCTACTCCCACCTCTTTTCGCTCCCCCCCCCCAACCCAGTACTGGGAATTGAATTCAGGTCCTGTGCCAGGCAAGCACTCTACCCCCGAGCTCCATCCCTCTCCTATTTTATTGCTTGATTTTGAGATGCAGTCTCACTGGGTTACCCAGGCTGGGCACCAAGTTATAATCTTCCTGCCTCAACCCCCCAAGTAGCTGGGATTACAGGTATGTGCTGGGAAACTATTTTTTTGTGATTCTGGGTTATTCATGTTTGCCCGGGTACTTTCAAGACCTCACTGATTAAACAGAGTTCAGGGTTACTCAAGAGAAGTCTCGCCAATCTGGCCTTTGTCCTATTGAAAGTGACCTGTTGTTTGTTTCCTTTGGGAAAGCTTCCTGGGTTACCCTTTTGTTCTCAGAAGACTGAAAGGTCGCACCAACATGTAACTGGGGATGGCACTATTGTAAAGGAATAGCCTAATCTCACTCCCTTACTACAAACACCATTGTAGTAGCCTCCTCCTTCAATAAAGTCTTCCTTTTTGTCTTTATGGAAAAAAAATGAACCTTGATTTTCACTTAGTGAATTGTAGTCTTTTTAAAACCCCGTGAAATTTTCTTCTATTTTCAATTGTTTCTACGAATAACAATAATTTTATTTCTGCTCATATAAGAAAAGTGCAGAGGTAGTAATCTCAGACTACTGTGGTTGCTCCAAAGCGATGAGAAGAATCTAGTTTCCTCTCCTTCTTTTGCATAAAGCTTCCATCTTCAAGGCAACTTTATAGTCCAAAATGGCTGCTGTGGTGCCAGCCATCATTGATAAATTGCAGGCTGGAGGAAGGAGGAAAAGTAGAAGGGCAAAAATAGATCCTTCTTGTCTGAGTCAACTCCTTCTAAGCAACCTTTCTTGGATGTCACACACTGCTTCCACTCATATCTTCTTGGACAACATTTAGTCACAGGATCATGCTCAGCAACCAGAGAGAGCAAGAAATATAACCTTTTACTCTGTGTAGCAATAAGCCCAGCTAAAACTTGGGGTTCTGTTGTCAAGGAGGAAGGGGAGCACAGGGAGCTGATGCTATTGCCATATGTGCCCTTTATTTTCTCTGTCCTCTGCTTCTAGGGGTTGGAATTCTTAGATCTTTTCCAGGCTTGAATGTTTCTTTAAAACTTCCCATCCCCTTGCCCATTCGCTCTGACTTTAATGTCCACTTTTGTAAGATGGCCACTTGTGGTGCTCCCTCTGTGTTTTGGCCCATTATTCAGTTGATTCTTTTAAAAATTTATGGGTCTCATACCTTTAAACTGTTCCTTTAGGGCCAGGGATTTAGTTCAGTGGTGTCACCGCCTGCCTCACAAGCACAAGGTCCAGAGTTTGATACCCAGTACCAAACAAAACAAAACAAACAAAACAAAACAAAACACCTCTGTTCCTTTCTTCTTTGCACAACAAAGTTGAGGCTGCAGAGCTCTGAGCCTGCCATGGGCAGCCCCACCTGTCCTGAACTGGCAGTGTAATGCAGGACCTGTTACTGAACACCCCTGTGCAGTTTGCTCCTATAAAGCAAAGACGCAAACAGTAGCCCACCCCCAATGTGTTCATGTCTGTAAGTGTTTTGAACAGTGTCTGGTTTATGGTAAGTGATTAAAAAAAAAATGTCAGCCGCTAGCCAGGTGTGGTGGCACACACCAATAATCCCAGGATTCGGGAGGCTGAGGCAGGAGGATGCAGTCAAGTTCAAGGCCAACCTGAGCTATATAATGAGTTCAAGGCCGGCGTGAACTCCATAGCGAGACTGTGTCTCAAAAAGAAAAAAGGTCAGCCACTAACACGAGTTCTCTGCATGAATGTAAGGGCTCTGCTTGCATTCTTTGATGAGATTAGTTTGTTTTCATCTTTCCCTGTGGAAGATAATAACCTGTTCTCTGGAACTTTGGTTTCTCTGTTGTGTGTCCACAAAACTATATGTTGCAACCTAATTCCCAAAGGGAGAGGAGTTGGAGGCAGGGCCTCTGGGAAGGGCAGGGTCCTAGGGCAGACTCTTGGGAGCGGAATTAACATCTCCCAAGGAGGCCCAAAGGCGCTGCTCCTTCCTTCCCACTGAATTACAGCAGAGCCCGCAGCCAGGTGGGGTCACCACACCCCCGTCAGCCCGCACCTGGACCTTGGACCTGCCTCCTCCAGAACCGTGAGGGGTGAATCTCTGTCATCCATGAATGCTTCTATGGTTTGAAGATGAATGTGGTTTCACTTTTTAATTTCATTTTAATTCACTTCATGTTTGAGGAATGGTATGAGGTGGGAGTTTTGTTATTCAATTAGCATTTTAATTGAATGTGCCACTGTTTCATATTGTTTACTAATTCCTCCTTTATCATACAGAGAATTCTTGGGTAACAGAGAATTGTTTCCTGCCAGTGTGTCCACAGATGATAGATAGATAGATAGGTAGATAATTAGAAAGATAAATAGATTTGATAGAAAGATACACAGACAGACACATAGACAGACACCTAGATGAGTAGACACATAGACAGAGAGAAAGATACACAGGTAAATACATGGAGTCACTAGATACATGGACAGCTGCACTCCCCGGGTACTTCCCAGGCCAGGACATAATGACAAAGAGGAAATCCCCACCCTTCGGGGGAAAGGGGAACTGACAGAGAGTGACAGACAGAATGTCAGGGAAGAAATGATGGCAAGCGGAGACAGCCAGGGGCAGCACCAGGTCCCAGTGTGTGTGTGTGTGTGTGTGTGTGTGTGTGTGTGTGTGTGTGTGCACCCTCTAGACAGAGAGGAGACTAATGCCAGCGAGCTATCCACCCCACTCCCCACCCCGTGACTCCCCAAAGCATGGGTTTGTCACCCACGAGGAGCCTGGCTGCCATCAAAGCCTAGCCTCCCTCACAGGGGCTGTCATCTCAAGGCACTGCTTGCTGGTACCCACAAACCTTCACGCCTGTCTCCTGCAGCACCTTCCTTAGGAGACAATCTCCAGGGCGTGGGGCTGACCACACAGGCTAGGTCTTGGGCAGCTCCCACTAAGTCACCCTTCTACAGGACCAGAGGAGGCAGAGTCTTGGAGTCACAAGAGCCAGTGACATGAGTCTGGCACAGCCGCCAGCCCGGCAGCCACAGGAGACTTCAGGGCAATGAGGACACCCACCTGTCCATAGCCAGCAGCCAACCTGCAGGTCCAGAGCTGACCAGGAGATGGCGCTGCTCCCAGGACCGCTCCTCATGGCCCTGCTGGCTCTGGGCTGGGGGACCCGTGTGGAAGGGTCAGAGGGTGAGTCTGAGGCTCTGTCCCCTTCCTCATCCCCCGTCTCACTCCCGGCCATGTCAGGCACACCCCCGCTGTACCCCCGGAAGCTCTGGGACACCCGCAGCTCTCCCTCCTCCCTATCTCGCTGCCCTCTTTCCTCTCCACCTGGCGCCCCGGGCCCTCCTCCAGGGTCCACACACGCTGGTCACTCTCCCCTGGCCCCTGAGAGTCCCGCTGAGGGAGGGCCACGCCTCTGCCTGCCCCTCTCACTGTGGCACTCGAGGCCCCACCTCCAGGCCCGTCCAGCCTCTTCTCTGCCCCCCACGCCCCTCCCCTCTGTGCCTGAGAGGCTCTGATTCCCTCTGGCGGCCTTGGCCTGGGGCTCCCTCTGCGGCAGCCCAGCCGCCTCTGGTGCTAGGAGGCCCTCTGGGGTGCTCCTGGGGCTCCCGAGGCAGAAGGGACCCCTCCCGGTGCCCCCAGACAGCGGCTTCTGTCAGGACTTTGAGAATGACAGTCCCCCTTCCAAGCCCAGGCCAGGCAGGCAGGGGACAGAGGGCGGCCCGAGGGTGGGGCTGGGTGGTGCCTCCTTCTGGGGGACCGGGGGGTGGGGTGGGTGCAGGGGTGGGGCTGTGCCTGGCACTGGTCCCCTCCTGAGGTACCCTGCCCCAGGCCAGCACACGGGGCCCAGTAATGTGCTGAGGATCAGCTAGAAGTTGTGCTTCTGTGGGGAGAAGGGTCCTGGCCAGGGCCCCCCCACATAGCCCAGGGCCTCTGCAGGCACCTAGGTTCCCTCCCCAGGGCTGGACACCCTGGAGACGCTTGGGGACAGTGGCGAGGGGCTGAAGGGAGAGCCACCCTCCTGTGTGTCCCTGCAGGTACTGTTCCGCTGCAGACCCTGCACTGCTACAACGACTACACCAGCCGCATCGTGTGCAGCTGGGCAGACACCGAGGCTGCTGGGCAGCTCATCAATGTGACCCTCCATCGCAGGTTAAAAGGGTGAGTGAGGGGGACAGGGGACTGAAGGTGCCCTTCTGTGTCTGGGGTGATGGCATGGGGTTGCAGAGGACACATGGCCGGTGCCAGGGTCCTGGGACACTAATGGTCCTGCTGTTATAGATGGCGACGGTCTTTTTACTGCCACCATTTCCCAAAGTTTCCCCAAGTGACTCAGTTCATCCACCCTAAGAGGCAGCAGGAGGGACACGATCCCCAGGTCACAGGGAGGACACATAAGTGGCCAGGGAGCTGAGGCCTTCATCAGCCACAGGGTGGGGAGGGGCAGAGCAGGGACAGTGTCCAAGGATGTGAGGTGGTGGTCGTCTCCTAGCAAGCCGGGACTCCACCTGCAGCGTAGGCTCGCTGCCTTCTGGTCCATGGCCCCCTGTGCCTAAGCCACTCAGGAGGGCGATGACGCTCTTGGGGGAATTGAGAGTGTAATCTTCCATCAGTGAAGTGACCGCACAGCTGAACTCCAGGGAACGAAGGAGACCCTGTGGAGGTTCCCCTTGGGGACCCAGCTGCACTGTACACTATCTTCTTGCTGCAGCTCTGTCCTTCCTCTTCTGGGTCATCACCACTTCCTCCCAAGGGCTATCTGCAGCCACCGTACCTGATGCCTTTTTAGTCTGTCCTCCCTGAACACACTCTCCACACTGCTCCTGCCTGTGAGCAGTGCCCCTGGAGTTAGGTGGAGTGGTCAGGGGTCAGCCCTCTTCCTCCCTGAGCATGGCCAGCACCTGACCAGGAAGAGTCCAGTGTCCTCCCTGGAGCTCCCCTTCCCCTGACTTCTGGCCTCCACACTCACCAGTTCCCTTGTGCCCCTGCCCCCACACACCCTCTTTTCTCTCTTGCTTCCTTTCTTTCTCTCCACGGGGTGGGGGACAGTCCCCGACTTTGGTCCTTGGACCTCATCTTTTATATCTGTACCCAGTCTTTGAAGATCCCACCTCAGGCTACCGGCAGCAACTTCAGATACAAATTCCTAGCCAAGACCTCCACTAACCACTAACCAGTGCACTTGCCTCTCTGTGTTTCACTTAGATTCTAGGTATCTCTGACTCTAAATGCCCTAAAGCTAATTTTGCTCCCACCCTGAGATGCTCATGCCTCAGTCTTCCCTAGCTCACTCCACTGGGAAGAGATGGGCACTCGGGCTAAACAAATAGGAGCCAGTTGTTTGGTTTTTAAATCTCCTTTCCTTTCCCACTGCAGCATCTGATCCACCAGCAAATGCTGTCAAATTTGTCTTCAAACAGAATGTGGCTCTGACCAGTGCTGACCCCACCTCCCTGCTCCAAACCTCTTCTTGTCACTTGGATGATCCAGAAGCCACCTAGCTGGACTCCTTGCTTCCACATCCCCAGCCATCCTCTTCACCATCTTTCATCAAAACATGTCCTTCCTCTTTTCTCATAAGTCTCTAAGTGTTTCCCACCAACTCAGTGAAATCCAAATTCCTTGTTTTACTGGACCCAAGTCTGTTTTGCTCCCCATTTGAAAGCCAATACTCGATGACAAGTGGGAGGAAGGAAAAATATTCACTTGCAAAATCAGCAAAGCAAAGAAGATGGGAGATTTCCAAGAAAGACGATTTTGCTTGGGGGTCACAGGGTATCTTTTTAGGCCCAGATCAGAGGGCAGAGGAACACCAGGCTTGTTATCAGTTCTACAGAAGTTTGCTTCCCTGGTCACATGCTCCTGTTATGGGGAGGTAGTAACCATCTATAAATCTAGAGGAAAGAAACCATGTAGTAAGTTTTATGACTCATGTCTTTTTAGTTTCTTTTCTCAGAAATAGGTACCCTTACCGTCTAAAATACAGAACCTGGAAGGAGAGCAGAAAATAACTTTTTGCCAGAGTTTTAATCTATTAAGTAGCTTCAGTTACAGGTATCATCTACAGGAAAGCTACTGGGAAGCTAATAATAGATTGTTCAGTTGTGTGACCTTCTTCAGTTAGAGAAATGTAAAGTCTACTAAAAGTCAATGAGGTGAGAGCCTTCCTTTAGGTTTTCTTTTGGTTATACTTAGATTTCTTCTAAGCACTGTATGATCAGACTAATTAACTAGTTTTCTAGACCTCCTGCCCTGACAAGCTCCCCACCCTTCGTGCTGGTTAAATGGTGCCACTTCCAACTGTGCCTGCCCCAGGGACTTTGCACTTGCTGGGCCATTTCTGGAAATCCTCTTTCACCAGCATTTTCATGCTCTCTCCCTATGTCCTTGGACACGCCACTTGTTGTCTTCTCAAACTGCCTTCCCCTCTTTCAGACTGCATTCCCAGTCTAACACCTAGCTTCATCATCCTCCTACCTTGCTTTGCTTGACTACATGATTTTTTCTCATACTACAGGGGTGGTCAAACTATATGGTGACTATTTAAAATGTAGAAAAATTATTACAGTAGAAGACACATTGTCATAAATGCCCCTCAAAATACTCCCCCTCATGCCATGTATGGATGTCTCCAGTGGGTTAGCTTGTGCCTCTTTGACCAGGATGCAGCCTCTGTGGTGGTCATCTGCGAGTGTGTGGTTCACTGCCAACCCTTGACACTGGGCAAAGCCTGGCACATGGTGCCACTCACTAAATATGATGCACGAGTGATTCTTATTGATTCTGAGCCAACCAACCCAAGTCCTCTCCCCACAGGGACCATCCCCAGCCAGTGTCCTGTGACCTCACTAAGGATATGCCCTGGTCACACTGCCCATCTCCTCCCTGTGTGCCTAGAAGATGTGTCATTCCCTACCAAGGTTTCGTCCTGGCCGACAATGATTACTACTCATTCCAACCAGACCGGCTTCTGCACATCCAGCGCACCGTGACACTGGCCCAGCACGGTGAGGGGGTGGCATACCTGCCAGGGCCCTGTCCTTGTCTAGACAGCGGACACCAGGGACAGCCAGGCGAGAGCAGGAAGGAAGTGGCTTTGCCGCTGAGATGTGAAGGCTGTGGAGGAGCGCAGGCGGGAGGCACTTTCCTGGTGGGGTAACTGCATGTGCCAAGGCCAGGAGGTTCAGGAGGGGCGGGATGCTAGGAAGACCCCATCACCGTGTCAGGGAGCATCAAATTCCTATGCTGGACAATGGAAGGAAGAAGTGGGGACACGGGCAGGACCTGGAGCTGGTGTGCAGAGGGCACCATCCAGGTGACAGAGAGTCCCCGAAGCAGTATGAACCAACTGGGTATTGGTGTGAGGAGGCTGGAAGCAGGCAGTGCACAGATGATAAAGGGGGCAGTGGTGGCAGGAAGGATGGGGCCCAGAATGTGAGCTAAGGCACACAGCACAGAGGGAAATGATAAGATCCCAGCTGGCTGTGGCCGGGGTGGGAACAAGGGAAGATGTAGTCCCTGTTGGGATGGACAAGAGACCCATTCTTGTGCTCGCTGGCTCACCCAGCATCTGCATATGCCAGCAGGGCAGGGAAAAAAGTCAGCAGTCTGGCCACAGGGAACTCAGCACCTGAACATGGGAAGGCTGCACGTGGAGATGAGGACAGTGTAGAACAAAGAGAGGAGCATGGCACTCTGCCTCCTGGAGTGTATGTTGAATAGGGAAGTCAGTTTGAGCCTAAAGTAAATTAGGTCTGCATTGAGGGGACCAGGAAGTGCCAGGGACGGTGCAGAGGAGCAACTGATCTACTTGATACTCCCACAGTTGAGATCATGGACATTTCACTTCCTCTATTGCTTTCTCCATCTGTGACATGAGCCAGGGGAATAAAATGGCTGAAGCTGGATGGTTAGGGCAAAATTGGCCCCAGTCTGCCCAGCTGGTGACGGCCTTCTGGAGCTCTCTGCTGGGACAGATGCCCACCCCATGTCAATCTTGGGCTTGGGGTCTGTGATCGATTCCTGATGTCTGTCCTGGCTGGGAGGGCAGGGGTGGACGCGTGCTATGCACCTGCCACTGGGGCTAATGGCTGCTGTGGGGCTGTAGCTGGGGCCTGCTTTAATCCTCCAAGTCCCATGACCACCATAGAACATTCACATCCTACTGTGTGAATGTTTTGGATGGGAAAGTCACGTCTGGCAATCAGACAGAGAAACTTCAGGAGCCCAGAGCCATGGCTCTCCGAAATGGGGCTTCTTCATGAGACCAGGTGGTTCCAGCAAGGTGGGCTTGAGCGGTGGATGGAAGTGATTCCTGAGAGTACGGGAACTGCACGTATGTGTCATTCATTCATTCATTCATTCATTCATCCTCTCACCCCATCCCAATTCACCAGGCAGCTGCATGTCAGGCTTGGAGACAGGAAAGGCAGTAGAGAGCCTCCAGCCTAGAGGCAACATGGAAACGGCAAACCTCCTGGGTCTGGGGGACCACAGTGGGGGATTTATAAGGAGCAATGGTGAGGGAAGAGAAGAGACAAGGAACAGGGACCCAGGAAGGTCCCTAGAGGAAGAAACACTTACACTGGGCAGTGACAGTGGTGAGGGACCCTAGGCAGGTAGGAGAGGGGACAGCAGGAGAGGGAGGCACGTGACTGCAGCGCCCTCTCCTGGGTGGGAGGTCACCCTGGGTACTGGGCAGGGGAGGCTTACTGAGGGTTGAGTTCCAGCCCCTCCACTGGAGCTGGCAGTGTGCAGTGCTGTCACATTTCAGCACACAGTGCTGCAGATGAGGGCCTGAGGCTGCAGAGGGAGGGTCGTGTTCATGGCCCTAGCTGACGGCCAGCCCTGGGCCTAGGACCCAAGTGTGCCCCCCCTGAGGCCGGGCAGGCCGCTCTGGCCCATGGCCCAGCCTCAGGAGCCCTTTGCTTCCTGTTCCTGCAGTGCAGCCGCCCCCACCCCGAGATGTCCAGATCTATGCCACTGGGGACCAATTCCTGCTGACCTGGAGTGTGGCCCTCGGGGGTCCCAAGATGTCCTGGCTGTCACAGGGGGACCTGGAGTTTGAGGTGGTCTACAAGAGGCTTCACGAGTCCTGGGAGGTAGGACCCAGAGTCAGCTGTGCCCCAGCCCCAAGGGACACGTGGCCAGGCACCTCCTACAGTGTCCCCTCTGTCCACAGAATGCCAGCACCCTGCACTCCAGCTCCTCCCAGGTCACCCTGGGGCCCGAGATCCTCCTGCCCAGCAGCACCTATGTGGCCCGAGTGCGGACCCGGCTGGCCCCACACTCGGGCTTCTCAGGGCGGCCCAGCCAGTGGAGCCGTGAGGTTCACTGGGACTCACAGCCAGGTACGGGGTCCGGGTGGGACCTGTCCCTCTGGGCAGGGTGGGCTCCTTAGCGTCCTGGGCAGTAGGAGTCTGGGCCTTCCAAGCCTAGGCTGCTGTGTGTCCTCCTCAGAGAGTCTGTGGCCAGCCCCGTCCCCGTGGGAACTCTGCCCAGTCAGGCTCTGTCCTATACACTCCAGGTCCAGTTCCTGTGAATGTCTGCTGATGACAACTGCAGTCACAGCAGCTGTGTCATTGGCCACCATGTGTTACCGAGGGCTTTGCTCTTCAAGACTGTGTCCACGCCTTGGGACAGGTTGCTTGGAACTGTGGGCGCATAGATGGCAGGGCCACGAAGAGACCAACGCCTGGTCTCATTATCATAAGGCCCATGACCTCCCTGTGGTGGTCACGGGGTGTCCCCAGAGCTATGGCATGAGGCAGGGGAGTGACCGAGGGCTGTCTGCACTGCAGGGGACAAGGCCCAGCCCCAGAACCTGCAGTGTGTCTTTGATGGGGCCCACGTGCTCAGCTGCTCCTGGGAGGTGAGGTCCCAGGTGACCAGCTCGGTCTCCTTCGGCCTCTTCTACAGGCCCAGCCCGGATGCAGGGTGAGTGTCCCTTCTCCGTCCCTCCCCTGCTCTCAGCCTCCCCTCCCCAGGCTTCTCCTGTCCCCAGGGCCCTGGCAGAAGCCCCAGCCCAGCTGAGGTCTCATTGCTGCTCGGTCCCTCCCTGCACCCTGACCTCAGCTGTGTGTGCCCCTCAGGGAGGAGGAGTGTCCCCAGGTGCAGAAGGAGGAGCTTGACGGCCTCTACACCCGCCAGTCCTGCCAGATCCGTGTCTCCAGCCTGAGGCCCCATGGCCAGTACACGGTGGCCGTGCGCCCACGGAATGAAGAGACATTCATCAAGAGCTCAGAGCACAGTGAGTCTGCCCTGCTTCCCTGTGGGTTCTCGGGACGGCGCTGGGTCCTCAGCTACCCAAGGAATCCCAGGCTTCCTCCTGCCCCAGTCTTCCTGTTTGTCACCTTCAAGTCAGACCGGTGACTGAAAGTGAGCAAATTCTTCTGATGTTTTGTGTATGTTCTCAAGGTGTAGTGGTTTAGCAGTAAGGAGGAAGGAGTAAAGAGGGGAAGATTTATCACACAGAGACCAGGTCATTAAACCCGGTCCCCTCAAGCCTTCTGTTAAGCCTGTCCTCTTTCTGTAGCTGCTCCACAGTGCCCCCTCAGCCCACACCCTCTGGATCTTCCCACCAAACAGCTTTCCTTCTCTGATTGCATTTTTCACTTAACTGATTTCCAAAGTCATCCTCTGACTAATATCCTCGTTTTTCTAAATATTGATGTCACATTTACTATTCCGCTGGGGGCCAGGTGTTAGCACATTGACTGTGGATACTTGCAGGTCAGTGTCACTCATTCCCATCAGGTAGCAAAGATCCCAATCCAAGGCAACCACCTCTGTACGGTGGCTCTTAATGGCCACCCTCCTGAACCCATGCTTTAGTGCTTGTCAAAGGCAGCTGCCAATTCATGTGGGTTGTAATCCACCACTTACATTCTTGGTGTCCGTCCTGGGAAAGGGGTTCCTGGAGTTCAAATGCTCAGAAGGGCCTAGAATGAGGCCTGGCACATGGGACACCTCACATTGTTTTATAAAAGCCCAGTGAAGCCATCAAGATTATGAGCCCTCTTCTGATGGATAGACTGAAGCTCAGAGTGTTGAGAGACTGGACAGTGGGAAGTGATTCAAGGCTGGAATGCAGAACTTCTAAATTCACTCCTACTTCCTGATTTCTCTGTCCTTATGGACTGAAAATACCAAGGGGGAGGAGCTGGTACAAAGGGGCTTAACCTGTTTGTCTGGTCATCACCAGAATGGGGAGTGGGTCACCCAATGTGGTTACAGGCTCATTGCTAGGACCTGGTGGCTTGTCGGGTACTGAGAGCCTGTGAGTCGGTCCAGGATCCAGGCATGTCCTATGGCTAGGGGTGGGATATCCCAGCTGATGATTTCAGGGACTGTGAAGTAATTGGGAGGAGTCCTGGCCCAGGACTGCACAGCTGCACTGTGAGTGTTGTCTTTGCCAGAACATGGTCGATATTCCACAATGAACCAACTCATGCTGGCTGTACTTAGACTCTAGACACCAGGAGGAACCCAAACTTTCAGCCTCCATGCAACACAGGCATCTCTGATGTCTCCCAGGAAAGGGGCTGATTGGGTTTCTATAGATGGTAAAGGGGAAAGAGGAGACTCAAAGACCCCAAGGTGCCAGGACTTGAAGAAGCTGGACATGACCAGCATAGGTGACAGAATGTTCCCCTGGAGGGTGGAGATCATGACCATCCCTAAAAGGCTCCCTCCCTGCAGTCCAGATGGAGGCCCCGACCCTCAACGTGACCAAGGCTGGAGGCAGCTACAGCCTGCGCTGGGAGGCGAAGAGAATGTACTATTCCCACATCGAGAACATCTTCCAGGTCCAGTACCGGAAAGACAAGGAGGAGTGGGAGGTGAGGGCTTGGCCAGGGTGCAAGGAGACAGGAAAGGGAGGAAGCACCCAGGAGAGAACCCCGGCCCCACGAGGGAGACACGGGACATGGGGAGCCCCTCTGTGTGCCCAGTGTCCCATCTATTGGGAAAGAGGAGACTCTGAGATGTGATGTGACCAGGCCACGAGGCCACAGCCCAGTCTGAATTGCCAGGGACAGACACCCTCAGGGCAGGCTGGGCTGACACCACTGAGATGAAGTTCCTCAGAACTCACCAAGCTATGAGGACGTTTCCTCTGGGGAAGCTTGTTTGCCACAAAAAAGTACAGTCTGTGCAGACCCCAGGTTCCTCAGAGCCCACAGAGAACCCACAGGGTGGCCCAGAGGGGACACTGAGGCCCAAAGGGTGGTCAGTGCTGAGTGAGGAGGAGGCCCAGCACCTGAGCCCCCGTCCCACTGCCCAAGCCCAGTCAACCTGCTCCCCACTCCTGGATCAGCAGGAACCGGAAGGCTGAGGACTCTCCACGTGAGGGCGCTCGAAGGAGTCTGTGTTCTCTGGTCCCCGGTGTCCCCATCTGTGCTGTCAGAGGTGGACCCAGCCCCACAGGGCACCTGGGAGACGGGGCCGGGAGGCCACTGAGCCCTGCACCAGGCCAGGCCTCAGCTTCTGCCCCTGCTCCCACAGGACAGCAAGACTGAGACCCTGAAGAACGCGCACAGCATGCCGCTGCCCCCCCTGCAGCCCGCCACCACCTACTGGGCCAGGGTGAGGGTCAGGCCCAGCCCCAGAGACAGCTACGACGGGATCTGGAGCGAGTGGAGCAAGGAGCAGGGCTGGACCACTGAGCGGGGTAGGTCTCCTGGCTCCTCTGCTCGTCCTGGTCAGGAGGAGAGGACACGGCCCCTTCCCTTGCGCCTCTCACTAGTCCCTAGGACAGTGCTGGTGAACCTAAGGCACCAGTGCGACAGCGGGCACGCACAGCCCTCTGTGGGCACACGGGCCAAGTCACCACATTGGACGACAGTTGTTTTCTCTAAACTAAACCCTCAGCATTCAGGCTTAGCTGCAGTGCGGAAGTAACACCTGGTGTGAGCGCAGAACGCAGATGAGGACGTGCAGGTGTCCCCATTCCTCCTCCTTCAAACTGGAGAGGAGGCCCCTGCTACTAGGGCCCTAGGTCTTGTTACCTTCAAGGCAGCCGCTGCCCAGAGACTGGTCCTACGTGGCCAAGGCATCAGGCGCCCAGCGGGCCTGGGAGGGGACGGTGCACCTGAGGGCGAAGTCACGCGCACCCCCGTGACTAGTGGACTGCGAGTGCCCCTCGCCTGCCTCTCCCCATAGTGGGCGCCTGCACACATGGGCAGTGCGAGGTCCGGGTGCTTCAGAGCGAGGATGGAGGTGGCCCTGGGGAAAGCACAGGGTCCCAGGCAGCAGGGGCATAGGGGGCCCTGGGAGACACCACGGCCAGGCAGAGGCAGGGCTGGACCTGGGCCAGGGGAGGGGAGAGGCCTCCTGGGCCAGGCTGCAGCCTCAGGGCAGCCAGGAAGGAACCAGGGCTCCTGAGGGCCTCTGCTCACTGGCCCCCACCCAGTCCTCCTCCCCCGCCCCAGCACTCCTGTACCCTGCAGCCCAGCACCCAAGCTGCCTCCTCAGGAAGTCCTGACTGTCCTGTGTCCCCCTGGAGCTCTGTGGGGTCTGCCCTGTCCCCCTCTCCTGTGCACCACAGCTCCCCACCCGGCCCCTCCATGCAGAGCACATGCCCACGGAAGTCCTGGGGGCCCCGACCTCAGGCCTCTGCCCCCTCTTTCCCTCCATCCTAACCACTCTCCTCCTGCTCCCACCAGTGCTGCCTCCCTGGGTGCTGACACTCATCCTGGTCTTTGTCACCCTGGCCCTGCTCCTGGCCCTGCGCTTCTGTGGGCTCTGTGGGTACAGGTGAGGCACTCAGGGCCCCCAGGACTCCAGGGGTGGCATGGCCTGGCTCCAAACCTCCCTGCTCTGCCCCATGCCCTGGGCCTCAGTTTCCCCTCTGCACATGGCATGGGAGCAGCTGGCCCTGAGGGGTCTGATGACTGTCCCCTCCCTGGTGTGTTCCAGGCTGAACAGGAAGTGGAAGGAGAAAATCCCCAACCCCAGCAAGAGCCACCTCTTCCAGGTAGGAGCCACTTGTGGAGCTGGGTGGGGGCTCTGCCCCTGCTCCTGTGTGCCCCCTACCACCTACTCCCTGAACTGCCGTGTGACATGGTCAGGGTGTGAGCATGCTGCGCAGCAGGAAGTAGGAGGAACACAAGCCCCATCCCTGCAGGGGCTCTGCCTGGGGCCAGGCAGGGACCTGAGAGCTGGTGCCCTGCAGCCAGGGTGAGCTCACCCAGCCAGGAGGGCCCACTGCCCTCAGGCGCTGGAGTGGTGGGAGGCAGAGCAGCTCCCAGAGCAGGACTGAGCTGAGGCTGAAGGACCTGGGTGGAGGCAGGCAGGACAGTGGCTACAGCAAGGACATCTGGAGGATGGAGACAGGACCTTCCTGAGGGCACTGAGGTGTGACAGTCAGCATGCCAGGGCACTGCAGAGGCACAGTGACCCGGGTGGATGGCAGTGCATTAACAGGAGCCCTGTGGTCCTGGCAGGGGAGCTCTGGCTTTGCTAGGGTGGTGACTGGTGTGGGGGTGGTGGGGTGAGTGTAGAAGACACCCAGGTTGTCCCGGGGACAGGCATCCTGTCCTGGGAGGCCTGGGACCCGGGCAGCTGCAGCCCCTCCCTGGCCTCGGCTCCCTGCTGGCAGAAGGCTGTGGCTGGTCTGGACCATGTGGAGATCAGTGTTGTGTCTGGAGCTACTGACTCCTCCCTCCCTGAGTCCCCACCCTCAGGCCATGTGTCCTTCTCCTCCAGAATGGAAGTGCAAGGCTCTGGCTCCCAGACAGCATGGTGGCCTTCGCGGGCAGGAGCGCCCCTCGCCAGGGGCCCAGGGCTGGCCTCTTCCCTGAGCTGGAGGGGTGAGTGTGGGACCTGAGGTCTCCTATCCCTGGGGAGCAGGTGGGGCTGCCCAGTACCTGCATGCAGGGGTGGTGGGAGGGCCTGTGGCTCCCTGGGAAGAGGTCCTAGGAGGTTGTTTTACATGAAAGCAGGTGGCACCAGGGCTGGACATAAGGAAGAACCTCCTGACTCCCAGGTCAGGGAGGGACGGGCCAGGGACCTGGCCTGAGGCAAGGCTCTGCCCAGCTTCCTCCTAAGGAAGTCCCAGGGTAACCAAGTCCCCTGGGACCCGACTCTTGGTAGTTCTGGTCCTCTGGCGTCCTCACTGGAGCTCTATATAGGTGACCCTACCTCCTCTGCTGCCCTCGAAGTCTCCCCACTGCAGAGGCCACAGGGAGGTGCCAGAAATGTAAACACAAGGGCCTCAGCTGTCTGTCAGGGGGAGTTGGTGGCAGAGTGGGTACAATGACAAGAGGAGTGGGCACGGCCATGTCAAGGCCTGACCTGTCCTGAAGACACTGCAACAGCAGAGAGAGGGGACCAGCTACAGTGGATGATCTTGAATTGAGCATTATAGACACACCTTGGAGAGGCTCTCACTGCGCCCTGGCTGCCCTGGTGCTCTGGGTGAGGCCGGGGTGGGCTCAGGCCTTCCTGGGCCTCTCCCGGCTCTGTGCATGTGCTGGGTCCTCTGCCAGGCGGCCGCTGCATGTCTGCATCTCTGCCTCTGTGCTCCCCACAGGCTGTGCGCTGTAGATCACAGGGACAGTGAGGTGTCACCTCTCACCACAGAGGACCCTAAAGTTGTCTGTGACCCTCCATCCGGGTCTCGTTCCACTCTGGCTGCCTCAGACCTGACCCCAGAACAGGTCCCCAGCCCTCAGCCAGGCCCGCCAGCCACCCAAGGCCGACCTGAGGACCAGCTCGCCACCTTCGACTTCAATGGCCCCTACCTTGGGTCGCCACACAGCTGCTCCCTGCCTGACCTCGCCGGCCAGCGTGCACCACCACAGGGCCCCAAGCCAGCCCTGCCAGGCTCCCTGGAGTACCTGTGTCTGCCCCCCGGGGGACAGGTGCAGCTGGTGCCTCTGACCCAGGTCACAGGGCAGGGACAGGCTGCCCATGAGGAAGTAGGGGGAGGCCCTGCCCCTCCTGCATCTGAGCCCAGGGGCCAGGCACAGGACCCAGAGGACAGCCCAGCTATTCTGCCCACAAGCTCTGAGGGCCCTGAGCACCTGGTCCTGGCCTCTGGTTATGTCACCACTGCAGACCTGGCACTAACCTTGTCCACAGGGGCCTCATCTGTCTCCCTGGCCCCCGCTCTGGGCCTCCAGGACCCCTGCCTCTGTCCAGGCCTGCCCCCCGCAGGGCCCCCCATAACCCCACTCCCTGAGAAGCCAGGATTTGAGGGCTATGTGGAGCTTCCTCCAACCATGGGGGCACCCCCCATGTCCCTTCTGGGCAGTCCTGCATCCAGCAACCCTGTCCTGAGCCCAGGGGAGCCCCGGGCAGATGTGCCCCTGCCGTCCCCAACTCCTGAGGGGCTCCTGGTCCTGCAGCAGGTAGGGGACTACAGCTTCTTCCCTGGCCTAGGACCTGGCCCCTTCTCACCCCGAAGCAAACCCTCTTCCCCAGGACCCTGTCCGGAGAGAGCAGACATTGAGCGGGGTTCCACAGTCCAGAAACCTCCAGACCAGCCTGTACCCCAGGTGCCTGCCATTCAGTTCTTTTAAGTCCTGGAAGCAGCAGGACTACCTGTCAGTCCCCCCACTGGGAAGTCAGCGGGCCCCGAGAGGTGTGCTGAGGCCTTGCAGACCACTCTGTACCCTGCATTCTCCCTGTGACCTCCCCAGAGCCATGGGGCATCCATGATGACAATGACAGGACCTGGAGAACCCTCCACCCCTCAGAGTCCCCTGGACCTTCAGGGGCCGCCTTTCTCCTGCTGCTTCTTTCACAAACACACACACACACACACACACACACTTTTCTTTCAGGTTAACTTATTTCTAGATTCTGAGTTATTAGAGCTTTCTATGCATAGCCATCCACCTCCCTTTCCTTTTGTTTTTTATGGGGTTCCCTTGTCTTCGTTCTGTCTTCCCTCTTCACTGCTGATTCATTACTGGAGTGAGGTTGGGTCCCAGGCAAGCCTATCCTGAGCATAAGCCCTGCCCCGTGTGTTGCAGGCTCTGGTGGGCAGCCTGTGCCCTGCAAGCTCCCAGGCACAACATGTGCTTCTGGGGCGGCTGCAGGAGGGCCGGGTGACACCTTGAGGTGAGACCTGGAGACCATCCATGACCTCCTCAACTGTCACTCCAGGAAATGGGCGTGGGGTGGTAACGTGCAGGGCCCGAGTGTGCAGAGCTGTCTGAATTCCTGGAAAGCTCTGTTAGTCCTCACAGAGGTGATTCGGGGGTCTGGGGGGGTCAGGGGTCAGAGAGAAGTCACTGATCTTGGTGATGCCATGTGGTGCCTGCAGTTTGGATGACGCTAGCAAGAGGGGTGCATCAGGAAGGGTCAACTGCATCAACTGTGCAAAAGCTGGGAAGACGGCTCCATGGTGTGTATCAGAGGATGCACACTTTAAAGTGTTTAGTCCAGATGGCCCCACTGCTCCCCCGCAGAAGACGTGGGGCTCTGGCTCCCACTGGCCACAGATCTGGGCCTGCCCAGGGGATTATGGTTCTTTGAAATCTTTGCCTTTTTGTTAATGCAAAAATAATGGCATTAAATTGTTTTCATTTGCACTATCTGAGCATTATCCAATGAGCACATATTTTCACATGTACCTTGCACACTGGTATTTTTTTACATGGCTAAGCCCACCATGGTCTTTGTTTGCTTAGGAGCTATCTTTTTCTGATCAAGTTTTTAAAAGTATTTTAAATGTGACCATTCATAAATGGTGTGAATTTGTTCCTCCAGTTCACTGTTTGTCTTATAACTTTGTATAGGTGGCATTTGGAGCCCTCAATGTTTTCATACCTGCTTTGTCATGAGATGGGTCACTGGGCTACTTCTCTAATTTGGGGGCCAAATTTATAAAGGCCTTCTCCAGAGCAAAGTTGAATTTGTCCTAATTTATATTTTTTCCAGTTCCTTTTCTACTTCAAGATATTCATGTAAAATTTTAATTAATTTGGAACATTGTAGATCTGTCTCTATGTTTTCCCCAAAGACACATCAGGTGACTTAAAGCAGGTGTCGAATGGTCTCTGTGCTTGAAATGCCACTTCTGTGATACACAAAGTTCCTGTCTAGATTTGTTTTGTTTCTAGACTTCCTTTCTAAACTATCCCGATCACCCAGCTTTATAATAGATTCCTTCCCTCACCCTGTACCAGGAATCAAACTCAGGACCTTGCTCTTGCTAGGCAGGCACTGTGCCATTGAGCTACATCACTGGCCCCTATAATAGATTATAATAAGTGGCAGGGCAAGAAGTCTGGTTACCTTTTATTCACCAGCCCTTGTTCAATACAGCAGTGTTTGTGGTCCAAGAAAATCATAAACAACCTAAATGTTTGTCAATGGTGAAATTCTACAGTAGAAACTTCTGTGAAAAATCAATGAGACAGACACCCGCAGGCATCAGGAAGAAGTTCAAAATATGAATTCCAAAACATCTGGGCATCATTCAGAGGGGAAAATTGCAATAAAATATTCGTAATGTAAAAGGAAACCAGGCTTGAACTTCTGTGCCTGAGGGAGAGGAGCTAGGGAGGGTGCTCTGTGGAAGGCCAGCGGCCCTCCCGGGAGGCTAGATTCTGTAAGACAGGAGGAAGTCTGGTCTCTGTGGCACTGCGGCACTCACAGGGCCTCTATGAGTTGAAAGTGGCCTTTGGGACAGGCCACGGCAGAAGGAGGAAGCTGTGGACAGCAGAATAAGAAGCAGGGGAACTTCCTGGAAAATCCAGGAGGAAGTGGGGGGAGGAAAAGACTAAGCAAGAGGACAATAAAGATCACACTTATTGCACTTAAAAAAATTATTCACTGTTGTCTGAAATTCACATTCAACTGGCCATCCTGTATTTGACCTCTAGTCAATGGAATGGAGAAGTAGGTAAGAGAATGGATCGCCCATAAAAATAGCTGAGGACGATTGAAAGCTATTTCTATACACGCTGCTCAAGTGATTTCTGGAATCAACTTATTTTATCTTCACAGCGCTGTGAGGCAGATATTGTCGATACTCAGAGGACTGAGATCTTTTGATCACTGTATTTACCATACCCATTTTTGTCATTGAGGAAACCGAGGCACAGAGAGCTTATACAACTTGCCCCAGGTCAACCAGCCCATTGGGAGCAGTGGCAGGATTCAAACCCTGGTCCTGGGCTGAGAGGCTGCCTTTGAAAGCAAGATCTTTCTCCTGAAGATCCACACGTGGATGTGAAATAACCTGTGTGGGTTGGCAAGACAGAAAAATCCGGAACTGAGTTGATTCCACAGCCAGGGGAGATGGAGCCAGTGGTGACTATGGAAATGTCGTGTTTCTCCAGGAGCAGAACAAGAGGCTGTGTGTTGTCACACGCTGAGATCCCAAGAGACCTTTCCTGCACCCCAGAACATGCATACGGCAGGTGAGTGCTGAGGAATTGTCTCAGCTTCAGGTCTCCAGGCAGCTGTGAAGGACTTTTGGAGACTGAAAGGAAGGGACAAAATACACCTAAGCAGAGAAGCCGTCAGGCCATCCAGGCCTCACAAGGCACCTGCTAGCCACAGTGGACTTGGGAACAAGAATTGCCTATTGGAAGAGCCCCATGTGGGACAGACAAGGCCAGCTGCTGGGCCCCTCAGGGCACCCATCTTTGACCACACTGCTCTGAGAAGAACGAATTAGAGAAGGAAGGAGAAAATGCTGAAGGCCATCAGCAGCTGGCCACCGGGGGTCTCCAACCCTCTCACAGATTAATTCATTACCCAGAATCACTGCCGTGAGCAGATCATGCACCCCCAGAGCAAACCCCTCTGTCTCCAGACTTCTCTCTCCCAGGCCCAGAGGGTGCTGTCACAGTGGTGCCCAATCAATAAAGGCAAGTTGGGCAAGTTGAGGGTCCTGAGCACAAGTGGCTTCTGCCAGGTACCCCAAGTCACCCCACAAGTCCCAACTCAGTGTGGGCTCCTCATGGGAAGCTCTTGCTGTCCTACACCCAAGTGGAGCACATCTCAGCATCTGTATCCCCCATCCCAACTTTGCCCCTTTGCCTGTGTCACCCATTGTATTTCTGGCTCATATCTTTGTGTCTCAACTCAGGCTTCAGTGTCCAGCCCAGACCTCAAACATCTGCCTGGTGTGTGTGTTACCCTGGGCAACTGGATTTGTGGTGCTGGCAATTGAACCCAGGGCCTTGCACATGCTAGGCAAGTGCTCTGCCACTGAGCTACACCCCAGCCCCTAATGTGTATGTTAAAAGTATTTCTTGCTGGCAGATTCTGCATATTTGTGATTCCTTCTCTTCCATCCCCATTGAGATGCCTATTCTGCCAAGGGCTGATGATGGCAATGAAGTCTGGCTAATTGCTAGATATTAAGAGCAAATGCACAGGCACACCCCTTAAACTTTCATTTCCATATGAAATGAAAATTCATGACTATGCCAAGGAGGGCCAGACAGGAGGGTCAGAGAGGTGGGCTGTTTTCTATTCATGCATGATTCCGGCCTTGAGGGAGAACACCATAGCACTGTAGGGGCCTGGAAAGAAGGGTGTCCACCTGGGAAGGGCTGTGTGGCACCCACACTTCCTAGAGACATTGCTAGATTTAGCAAACAAAAATACAAGCCGTGGAGTTAGATTTGAATTTCTGACCAGCAGCAAATAGTGTTAAGTTGTTTACATTTGCATTATTTACAATTGCAAAAATTCAGAGACCTTTGGGGACCTTTCTGAAACAAATTACATCCTCTGGTGTCTTGTTGGTGCTTGAGATGCTTTTTCAAGTTATATGGAAAAACATGTTTAAGTGCTTTTCAGTTTTGTTTTGGTTGAGTTCTACTTATTTGAATATTATTGTAGTTTTTTTCCCCTTGCATTGTTCTTCTTTGAATGGTGTTAATTTTTTGTATGTGTGTGTGTTTGATAAAAAAGTTATTTTTTTAAAAAATTCAGAGACCATCGATCTAAATGTCCATCAGGGAGGAATGGCTTGTGTAAATCGTGGTACTTTCACACGAGTGTGACTCCTGAGAAGCTGCTAAGAGAGCCTACGTGTAGCAAGACAAGACTTCCAAGAGGCCCCATGGGAGAGAAGGTAGCAAGCTGCAAGCTGTGTCCTTAACTTTCTTCAGGAGGGGTGATTTGGGGACCTCTTTAGTGGCATCATTGCTTCTCATGGTCACTGAGTGCTCTCAATGCAGACAATGACCTTCAAATTCTAACAGATCCAGCAGGAAGGCTGCTTCAAAGAGTGCCCCCTAATAAACTTGAAGCAAAAGGGATAGAAGACGTGAAAAAAATTTGCAATGCCTGTGTAACAAGATGACAGGAACTGTAACTCACTAGAAGTCCCCAGTGGCTTTGTAAGTCTTTAGAGGTGGAAGATGGGACACTGAAGAGCACACTCAAGAAAAAGGACATGTCCCCTCCACCAGTGCACAGGAAAGGAAGGAACACTTGTTTCCTCCTGGGAGATGAGAGGGAGGAGAGGTGGAGAAGAGAGAAGAGAGAAAAGAGAACATGGCTAAGGATCCAGAGAGTTTGCAGAATGCCCTGCGTTTCCCTGATAGTCACTAACGTCCACACAGAACCTCGAAAGTTGGGACTACTTTAGTGGAGAAGATCAAGGAGAGACTTGGTCCCAGATCCCAATCTGACCTGCACTGATTTGAGACTGCTGCCAATCAGCTGAAGGTTCTTTTGCTCAATTACACAGAAATCGTGAGTCGACAGGTACAGCTCTGCTAGCAACCCTGATGCCACCAGGTGACACCAGTTAACGCTGGATGGGATTGGCCAACCCGGCTAGTTGCTCGGCTCAGCCTCTGCCAGCCACCAACGGCTGACACCTGCTTGTTCTGGGTGCTGTTGGGCGATTCTGCTAGTAGCTGCTCTCCAGTGCTGATCTTTACCTGCTGCTGGTCTCCGGAGTATTCAGGGCCATCTGTATTCATAGTTTTGTTTTTTTTTTTCTTTAAGCAACTACTCTATCCATACTATTCAGAATAAGAATCTTGAGTAAATTTATAGGACCGTCCAAGCCCACACCAACAGAGAACTACATCATGAGCAGACTTACAGGAGCACTGGAGTGAGGCTTTATTGGAACAGGACTTGTGCTGCAGCAGGAGGGAGATGGTATCAGTACACCAGAGGGAGCCCTTTCAGACCAACCTGAGGGGTGCGAGAGCACTGCTGCTTATGTAGCATCAGCAGGAATGTGATTGGCCCAAAGCCGAGCCTCCTGATTGGTCCAAAGTGATCTAAACTCAAACCTTCTGATCTATACCTACTGAGCAGTCCAAATTCAATTCCTTGGTTCAATAAGTGTAAATTCCACAGGGCTGGGGATTTAGATCAGTTGTGCCACACCTGTCTTGCAAGTGCAAGGTCCTGGGTTTGATTCCCAGTACCAAAAAAAAAAAGCACAAGTTTAAATTCCCGCCTGCAGAAGTCAGTACACTTGTGGAGTGCCCAGGACAGCCACAGCTGTCATGGTGCTGTTGGGCTGAGTGTTGGGAGACTTGAGCTGTTTGACAGCTGCTGTGTCTCCACAGAAAATTTGGGGGCTGAACCTGGGGAAGTGTCAGAGGGCCTATCTGTGTTAGTCACAGCTTACTGGGGTTTGGGTTATTGGGTTACTGTTAATGCTAACAATGGGCCTGGATCCCTCCCTGTTCTCTGCCACGTTAGAGGCGATTCCTCTACTGCTTCTTTAGAGAGGGGCCCAGTGTCTGGAGCAGGGTGTGGCTCTGCAGCCAACAACTGGGCCACACTTCCTGTCAGAGCCAACTAGAGACCTGCCGAAGTTACCCGAGGGGCAGAAGGAGGACACTGAGGCATGCTGGCCCAGTCCCTCCTCAGGGGACCTGGGGGGAGGGAAGGAGGTGGCGGGGAGGGCGAGACAGCTCTTGGCCAAGCCATGACCCCCTCTGGCTGGCACAGGAAAAGAGGGAGCGTCGGGTGCTTCTCAGCTGTCTCAAGATGAGGCAGAGGCTGTGTGCACACAGCTGGGCCGCTGGTGGCCTCTTGAACACAGGGCTTGGGGCTGGGAAAGGGGTGTGACCTGGAATGGGCTCTGAGGCAGCCCGAAGCAGAGGGCTCAAGCCTGGGAGGACCTCGCTGCCATGGGCCAGAGCTGGGAGAAGAGAAAGTCAGAAGAGTCATCATAAATAAAGCGGTTCCACTAATCAATGAGAGATATGTGGAAAAAGTGTTCAAATTGCTTGAATAAGTGCTCTACAAAAATAGAGATGGAAAATAAAACGAAAGAAAAAGGCTTATCCTCATTAATAATGCAATATATTTTTTCTTTCTTTTTTTTTTTTTTTGGTACCAGGGATCGAACTCAGGACCTTACACTTGTGAGGCAGGCAGCAGAACCACTGAGCTAAATCCCGGGCCCAATAATGCAGTATATTTAATTAAAGTGAGATGCTATTTTTTCTCACCAGATTGGCACATATTGAGGGAGGAAGGACCACCGGCAGTGTCCAGGGTTAGGAAAGGTATGGGGATGCAAGATTCTTCTGCCACCTCTTTGCTAGACTCTACTTTTTTTATTGGTATGGGGATCGAACTCAGGACCTTGCCCTTACGAGGCAGGCAGCGGCACCACTAAGCTAAATCCCCATCCCCGATAGACTCTGCCTTTTAAAGCAGTTCAGGGTTGACAGCAACACTGAGAAGGCTGTGGTGTTCGCAGGTCCCTGGAACCCCTCACACACAGGCCCCCTAGCCCCCACCACAGTGGTCTTAGCCATTGCTCTGATCAAAATGTCAGTACTTGGAACCCTTATGCAGAACAGAAATTTATTTCTCACAGTTCTTGAGGCTGGAGGCCCAAGATCAAAGTGCCATGAGATTCAGTGTCCAGGAGACCCCACTTCCTCATAGACAGAGTCCCCTCACCCTGGCCTCATATGGCACAGTGAGGTGTCTTCTAGAGGGCACCAATCCCAATCCTGAGGGCAGGGGCCCCAAAGGCCTCCATTCCTCATCACCGTGGCTGTTAGGATTGCAATGTATGAAATTTGGAGGAACACAAACACTCTGTCCATTGCAACAGTTGTACATTTGTGACAAATGAGAAACACACTGATATACAATTGTCACCCAAAGCCCACAGGTTACAGCAGGGTGCACTCTTGGTGTTGTAGAATGTATGGATTTTGACAAATAAATAATGTCATATACCCATCTTCACTATAATACTGTACAGAGTAACTGTGTCACTGTCCTAAGGCATTCCTCTCTCACCTGACCCGTTAGCTACTATCGCCATAGTTTTACCTTTTCCAGTGTGGAACTCCAGAAAATAGTACCAGCCAGCCTCTCAGCTGAGACTCCAGGGAGGCACACTGAACCAAAAGCTCTGTTAACCCACTCTGGGGTTGACTCGGATGCATGGTAAAGTGTGAGAACCACTGCTTGTTGCCATGATGGTCCCCTGAGGACTTAACAGAAATTTCTGGAAAAGAAGCCAGGGGATAGAGCCAGAGCCCTGGCCCAGGCAGAGTGGCAGCCATACTTCCCCAGTTTGTTGCCACTTCACAGAGCAGTGATGGATGCCACAGTGGCTTCATCACTTAGAAGAGGAACCATATACCTGACCCTCGACCACGCCCAGGCAAGGGCCTCATGGCTAGGATAATTCATCTGAGCTCCCCCTTGCCCAAACAGAGGGCCTGGCCTGGGAAGGGAACTGGCAGGCTCCGATGCTGGAGGGGAGGCAGTAGTCCTCAACCTGCTGCAGGACAAGGAGCCCCTCAGGAGTTGGGGACAGCAGGGCCACATCTGCCTGGGGCTCCCCTGGGCTCAGGACAGGGCTGCTGGGTGCAGAAGGGACAGGACTGCCCAGAGGGGTTGTGGACAGTGGCCCCATGGTTGGAGGAAGATCCACATAGCCCTCAAACCCTGGCTTCTCGGGGGGTGGGGCGGTGGGGGGCCCTGTGGGGGGCAGCCCTGGACAGAGGCAGGGGTTCTGGAGGCCTGGAGCGGAGGCCAGGGAGACAGATGAGGCCCCTGTGGACAAGGTGAGTGCCAGGTCTGCAGTGGTGACACAACCAGAGGCCAGGACCAGGTGCTCAGGGCCCCCAGAGCTTATGGGAAGAACAACTGGGCTGACCTCTGGGTCCTGTGCCTGGCCCCTGGGCTCAGATGCAGGAGGGGCAGGGCCTCCCCCAGCTTCCAGGAAGGGGCTGGCCTGGGTGCCAGGCTCAGGCAGACATTCCTCATGGGCAGCCTGTCCCTGCCCTGTGACCTGGGCCAGAGGCACCAGCTGCACCTGCCCCCTGAGGGGCAGACACAGGTACTCCAGGGGGCCTGGCAGGGCTGGCTTGGGCCCCTGTGGGGGTGCACGCTGGCCCACGAGGTCAGGCAGGGAGCAGCTGTGTGGCGGCCCGAGGTAGGGGCCATTGAAGTCGAAGGTGGCGAGCTGGTCCTCAGGCCGGCCTTGGGTGGCTGGTGGGCCTGGCTGAGGGCTGGGGGGCTGTTCTGGAGGCAGTTCTGTGGTGGCTGGAGTGGAATGAGACCCGGATGGAGGGTCACAGACAACTTTAGGGTCCGCTGTGGTGAGAGGTGACACCTCACTGTCCCTGTGATCTACAGCGCACAGCCTGTGGGGAGCACAAAGATGAGGCATTAATGAGACAGGGACTGTGCTGATGTCCCTGCAGACTGGGGGCAGTGCCACCCTGATGTCCAGCCTGGAGTGAGAAGCATCAGATGTTTTCCACACTGAGGGCAGAGGGGCAGGAACATCAAGGCCTGGGGTTGACAAGGTGGGAACAGCCATTTTAGGGGGAACTGGTACCACACTCCCTCTTCTTGGGAGCATCACAGCATGGAGCTGGTGGGTGGACCCACAATTTAAGATTCAAGACATGGAGAGTCAGGCAGAGAGGCCAAGATTTCAGGCAGGTGTCCTGGCTGAGGATGCAGCCACAGGAAAAAAAAACCCTCTTGTATGACTTGGAGTACCCGCACTGAGTGGGGACAGCCCCACCCTGGTCCCAGTGTCCCAAGCACAGAGGAGCTTTGCCTCTCCAACACTTGTCCCCATACCTGTGGGATCAGTAAGGCCCACATCAGCCTTGGCTCACTGCACCACACTTAGTGGCCTTGGGGACTGAAAGAAAAGCCATGCCAGGCAGAAGCCATGATCACTACCATGGCTTCCAGGCAGGGATTGTTCTCACCATCATTAAGGGAGCCAGCCCCACACCTGGGGCCTCAGAAGTCACCCCATTAGGTGACAAACACCGCCTGGCCCCTACACCATGGGGAGATATCCATAAGGCACTTGTGACTCTAGAAAACCTGGGAGCAGTATGACTGCAGAATAGCAGGGCAGGGTCACCACCAGTCCTCTGCCTCAGGCCAGGTCCCTGGCCCGTCCCTCCCTGACCTGGGAGTCAGGAGGTTCTTCCTTATGTCCAGCCCTGGTGCCACCTGCTTTCGTGTAAAACAACCTCCTAGGACCTCTTCCCAGGGAGCCACAGGCCCTCCCACCACCCCTGCATGCGGGCACCGGGCAGCCCCACCTGCTCCCCAGGGATAGGAGACCTCAGGTCCCACACTCACCCCTCCAGCTCAGGGAAGAGGCCAGCCCCGGGCCCCTGGTGAGGGGCGCTCCTGCCCACGAAGGCCACCATGCTGTCTGGGAGCCAGAGCCCTGCGCTTCCATTCTGGAGGAGAAGGACACATGGCCCGAGGGTGGGGACTCAGGGAGGGAGGAGTCAGTAGCTCCAGACACAACACTGATCTCCACATGGTCCAGACCAGCCACAGCCTTCTGCCAGCAGGGAGCCGAGGCCAGGGAGGGGCTGCAGCTGCCCGGGTCCCAGGCTGCCCAGGACAGGATGCCTGTTCCCGGGACAACCTGGGTGTCTTCTACACTCACCCCACCACCCCCACACCAGTCACCACCCTAGCAAAGCCAGAGTTCCCTTGCCAGGACCACAGGGCTCCTGTTAATGCACTGCCATCCACCCGGGTCACTGTGCCTCTGCAGTGCCCTGGCATCCTGACTGTCACACCTCAGTGCCCTCAGGAAGGTCCTGTCTCCATTCTCCAGATGTCCTTGCTGTAGCCACTGTCCTGCCTGCCTCCACCCAGGTCCTTCAGCCTCAGCTCAGTCCTGCTCTGGGAGCTGCTCTGCCTCCCACCACTCCAGCGCCTGAGGGCAGTGGGCCCTCCTGGCTGGGTGAGCTCACCCTGGCTGCAGGGCACCAGCTCTCAGGTCCCTGCCTGGCCCCAGGCAGAGCCCCTGCAGGGATGGGGCTTGTGTTCCTCCTACTTCCTGCTGCGCAGCATGCTCACACCCTGACCATGTCACACGGCAGTTCAGGGAGTAGGTGGTAGGGGGCGCACAGGAGCAGGGGCAGAGCCCCCACCCAGCTCCACAAGTGGCTCCTACCTGGAAGAGGTGGCTCTTGCTGGGGTTGGGGATTTTCTCCTTCCACTTCCTGTTCAGCCTGGAACACACCAGGGAGGGGACAGTCATCAGACCCCTCAGGGCCAGCTGCTCCCATGCCATGTGCAGAGGGGAAACTGAGGCCCAGGGCATGGGGCAGAGCAGGGAGGTTTGGAGCCAGGCCGTGCCACCCCTGGAGTCCTGGGGGCCCTGAGTGCCTCACCTGTACCCACAGAGCCCACAGAAGCGCAGGGCCAGGAGCAGGGCCAGGGTGACAAAGACCAGGATGAGTGTCAGCACCCAGGGAGGCAGCACTGGTGGGAGCAGGAGGAGAGTGGTTAGGATGGAGGGAAAGAGGGGGCAGAGGCCTGAGGTCGGGGCCCCCAGGACTTCTGTGGGCATGTGCTCTGCATGGAGGGGCCGGGTGGGGAGCTGTGGTGCACAGGAGAGGGGGACAGGGCAGACCCCACAGAGCTCCAGGGGGACACAGGACAGTCAGGACTTCCTGAGGAGGCAGCTTGG